AAGGTATTTGGAAACTGGTGACCGTTGATGACCGGAGAAGGTCGAAGATAAAACAATAATTTCTTTTTAAGAAAATGATTAAATAGGTCTACCATTTTATTAGTCTCAATATTTCGACGGCAAGACAGACCGATTTTATAATCTGGTTTTTCATATATGTCTGTCTGTCTGTCTGTCGCGAAGGGCGACCATCATCTTTATAAAAAAAGCCCTGGTGCGCACAATTTGTTGGGCTACCATTTTAAGAATAATTCCGAGCAAAAAATAAAGTAAACACACAAGTTTACGCAGAAAATATCTTTATTGATTATGACACTACGAATATTTTAATTTGTAGATTTTCAGTATAATCAATTTATTGTTTGTAAAATTTGAGATAGATACATTAAAGAAACATTGATAATTTCAAACACATCATTCAAGTTTTTCCACCTTAAACGGTAAAATATTTATAGCAAATTAGAAATATCACGTAAAGTTTTTTTTGTTCTTAATTAGGTGTAATTCTGACTAATTCCTTAGATGTAAATCCGTAACGTACCGGCAAACGGTATTTAGCCAGGTTTTGGAAAAGGTCAATTAACCAATCATGTACGGTGTACAGATCACATGCTCCCCCATGTACCGAAAACAGGTCACGTGCTCCTCCATGCCTCAAAAGTTAAACGCGTACCAATACCCTGCGGTCTCCAGACCGCAGGGAATGATTTGAAGTCGACCGCCTTATCCCTACTCTGCCACTATACTATTATGTGCGTCCATCAGGCTTACTAGAGAAGATAGTGTAATTGTCTGACCTTAATTTATACTCTGTAACTTTCAATATTATTTTCTTTTTCAGAAACATGAAAACTGCTATACAGGATGTCTGAAATAAAAAAAAACGACTTTTAATTTAATTATGACAAAAAAATCGTAACTTCAACAATGAAGCATTCAAAATGACGCCATGATCATGATTTGATTTGAATGCTTTTGGTTCGAGATGAGAAGGGTCTTTAAACATTGCCTTTTTTCAAAATCTATGTTTTGGGTTTTCGTATCCCCGATTGCAACCGAAACCATTTGGACAACTTAATTTGTAGAAAGTCATGTAAAATTCATCACATTTAGTCAGCGGATGAGATTGCACACACATGTGTAAGACAGACGGACGAATAGCCATCGGCCAATAAGCTCACAGAGATTTAAAAGTCTATGTAACATTTATACATTTTACCTAGTAGATATAGAAAATATCAAAGTCTAAACTGTAACCGAAATCTGGGTATAAACTGTAACAAAATCAGATCAAAGTCGCTAGGTCTATGCTGTAACCCTGCAAAAATCACCTGGCTCTATACTGTAACATTGTTTATTTTTTCAAACGCATTTAACGAACAGGAAAATAGGTTCAACTGGTCATTTACTTTTATAAACGTTTCCTAACATAAAGGACTAACGTTTAGCAGATTTACTTTTTCTAGGCATGCATACATAATGTCGAAATTGGAGAAAAATGCGTTGGTCTCTCGATTCAAATTTTCAAACTGTCAAATCTGCATATTTATGAGACAATATAGAGATAAATCAGTCTGCAGAAATATATGACTAGATACCGGATTCTGTTCCTTACAAGCAAAGCACAAAAACATCTTTTAGAAACTAAACTACTTGTAGTATCGACCGGAATAAAAATCACCTACCTGTCCTCCCAACAAATAATCCTCCATCTTGAAAATTCTATACTGTAACCGAAAAACGCGATACTGTAACAAGTTCCCTACGGTGAAAATATAAAATGACTAATACCCTTCTGGAGGACTCGGCCATATGGACAACCGGTATCGAGTATAAATAAACTCAAATACACACACAATGGTAACAACATTAATTACAATTATATACTTGCATTAGTAAATATAATTGACATTTTGAGAAAATATTTACGCACACATATATGAGTAAGTCACATAATCGGTCGAGTGATGTTTCTAAAAAACAAATACATACGGTGTGTGATTCGATCATGATATTATATTAAACTTTTATTACAATGCACGTGCAGAACATCAATATAAATAAAACAAACAAACAAAAATGTTTTATACTGATATGATTGCTTGAAACAATGGACATTATTGATGTCTTATTACGCGTTTCCTAAGCGATTTCATCGATACATAATTTGACGCTAGATAGTTATTTTTTTCAGGTTAAACACTTATCGGATTATTTGTCTGACAAGTAAAAGTCAAATCACACAGACCACAGTTAAACTGGCAATTATGTCCAAAATTGGTAACAATAATCAAATGTTCCAAAATATTCGTCAAGATTATTTCTTGATACAAAAAATCTGTTGGAATTCCTTCCAATATTGACAATGTTTTAATGTTGGATTCTCCTAAGTCGGTGCTAATGAATTTGAGCAAAAGTATAAATTTTATCACTGCCATTCTTATAAAGGTGTAGTCAAATTAATCATGCAAGTAACTTCGTCCTTCCTGTTATGCTGAACCTAAATTGCCTTATTTTTATTATCTTAATGAAATCTGAAAACACCCAATGGTAAGCTAAATTACAATCAATGTAGATAAAATCAATATTTACCTACTTTAATTATAATATAGGTATTTACATCACAATTAAGGAGCAGAACTACTAACGAAAATATCGGAATTACGAAAGGATGTGTCTGTCAGGTGAAACGTTTAAGGAAGCTAAATTGTCCAGATTTATACATATAGTGTCAGGTAATAAGCATCTTAACCACTGTTTAAACATATTAAAACCCAAAACATTATTCCTTTCTGGGGCGCCATGTGCTTTTAAGTGAATACATTGCGGCAACGACTGATGAAACATACTAATAGGTCACAACTTTTTCAGTCCTATTGTCTTATAATATAATTGCCATATATCGCTTATGGAGATCGCTGCATGGCACATGAAGCAGCACACGATACGCGTGCATGCCATTAATTTTAAGACACGGTGCATACTACTACATACATGTATGACAATGCGATGCAAGATATATACTTAGTTCTATGATTTCTAAGCTGTCATAATTTATAACTTATCATATTGTCATAAATGCTTTACGTACGTCGCAAAGCGATCCTGATTCAAAACGTAATTTATGGATTTACACTTCATGATATTTGTGTAAATAAACTTTTAACAATTTTTAAATATTTTTAATCAACAAGTTTATGTTTTATTAAGTAGGTAATTGATACACATTTGATAGAATAATTTTTAATTAATTATTGTTAAAAACCCATAACAGACGTGCGTTTTCAAATCCTTCAGAATATACATGCATATCCAAGATGTCGGATGGGAAAAGCATTGTTCGGGAAAGTTCGTTTTCCTGTGTATTTAGTTCCTATACAAGAAGACACATATTCATGCAGGCGATTGTTTTAGAAGGCAAATTGGAACTAGCTCTCAATAACTGAAATTTTTATTTTATCTTTCTTACTCTTAAGAAAAAATTAGTTCCTTTTTAAATTAGATCAAACAGCCCGATAAATTTTCTATAGAGTCGCACATTTTATGACTTTTTATTTGCTTATCATAAACACTTTCATCTATAAGGGTCATCTTTAGATAAGTTAAATGTTTTATATTCTAATCCATACCTTACTAAGTACTTTCACAGTTTTGAAATTTTCCGTTGTAGCACGGATTTATATTGCATATAAATCCGCATATAAATCCGTGGTTGTAGACACAAGTAAGAGAGACTTTCCGTGCAAATATTGCTGAAAAATATATGCATATACATGTATAACGTGCATCTAAAAGTCGAAGTCTAGTTATTATTATCATTATTCTTATAACCCCAGCTGAACAAGCCGTGCTGAGACATTTCGGACATCTATGCTTAGTACTAATTGAGCACGATAATATAGAGGATATTTGTTTAGTTCAGTGTAAGATCGGAATTTATTACATGCTTTTCGATCTCACACTGAACTAAACAAATATCCTCTATATATTTCACCGAGTGAGCACCAAAAGGTATATTTCACGAGTGGCGCAGCCACGAGTGAAATATGAACTTTTGGTGTTCACAAGGTGAAATATATTTCGATCTTACACTAAACTAAACAAATTTTCTTTTTATTATATGCAAAGAAACGTTTTAAAAAGACATTAAACCTAATACTGAATGAAAAGCGCGCCAAATAATAATACAACATGACGTCATTTACGACGTCACGTCAGTAAGTTGGTTCCTAGTACTGTGCACGCTGGTATTTCACTGAAACAACGTAAGGGGCTAAAATTCAAAACAGTGAAATTATCAAATTGATAATTTCACTGTTTAAAACAGTTAAATTACCAGTTTTATATCACTGATATATTTCTTTATTACATGCTTTTCGGTGGTTTATAGAAATATATCAGTGATATAAAACTGGTAATTTCACTGTTTTAAACAGTGAAATTACCAATTTGATAATTTCACTGTTTTGAATTTAAGCCCCTTACGTTGTTTCAGTGAAATACCAGCGTGCACAGTACTGGGTACCAACTTAATGACGTGACGTCGTAAATGACGTCGCGTTGTATTATTATTTGCCGCGCTTTTCATTCAGTATTAGGTTAAATGTCTTTTTATAACGTTTCTTTGCATGTAATAAACAGAAAATTTGTTTAGTTTAGTGTAAGATTGAAATATATTTCACCTTGTGAACACCAAAAGTTCATATTTCACTCGTGGCTGCGCCACTCGTGAAATATACCTTTTGGTGCTCACTCGGTGAAATATATTCCGATCTTACACTGAACTAAACAAATATCCTCTATATAAACCACCGAAAAGCATGTAATAAAGACCATTCTTAATATTGTACAGCTATTTTTAGAACATGAAACAGAACGAGGCGTAACTGGCAAGCTGATAAGCCAGTATAAGCTTTGCATACAATGAAATTGACTTATCTATGGTTCCTAACATTAATTTCTCATTTGTAGAGTTATTTATTACATGCAGGTATGTGTGCATCTATTAATTTTAATGGTAAATAAAATGGCTATATATAAAAGCAAATTTTATTTAAAAAGTTTTTTTTTTGTTAAAAACAATTGCTACTGAACAAAAAGAATTTGCACGGGCAAATAATGTTAAATACCCACACAGCCAAACCGATGATGCGTATGTTTATTTATTCAATATGTATTGCAAAGTATATGGTTTTAAATTGCACAAGTAAATAGACAAAGACATTTTTGCCGATTGACTTAAGTCAATAATTATCCATCTGACAAAATACTTTTACAGAATTGATAGTCATGTACATGTAAATTAATTGTTGTTTTCTTTTATAGGACGGAACGATAAACTACAGTGATGAGCGAACGAACAGGACCAGGAGTGTTATACGTATGCCGCAACATGAGAGTACAAGGGTTTCTCTCTTAGCTGAGGAGCTTTCACCAGCCAGATGTGAATATGATATGGAGACAGTCGTTGATACAACCGCTTTTGATGTAACACGGCCGAATCGTGAGATGTCCGACGACAATAATGGATTGTAAGTGAAGTATACAATTTACAATAATTTTGAAATGTATTGAAATAAATAGTGAATTGTCCATTTTGTTTTATGGTTGCATATTAATGATCCTGTTTCCATTTCAGAACAATTGTGGACGAAACAGTACAAGATGTACCAGAAGATGCACCTGTCACTTACCAAATAGTCGTTGGGGGTTCTACACGCGGCAACATGAAACTGGTTTCATCTGATGGATACACATTCGTGAAGAAGCGGACTCTTGTGAACGGAACAGCTGACTGGCGATGCAGCGTACGCGGTAGGAAAAGTGGGTGTCCAGCAGTTGTTAAACAGACAGGTTCGGACTATCGTGTCGCGGGAAGTGCTCATACACATGAATCAAAACCAGGAATATTGACAGCCGTTAAAGTTAAAACGGAAGTAAGTACATTACTATATGTATCCAGAATTCAAAGAATTATTATTATATGTTTTTATTATAATAAACATCAATCAAAGATGACATATACCAACAAGATCACGTTGGATAAAAAATATTGGACGTAAATATTCTAATTATATATAATGATTTGATTATAAAATTGAAATTGGTAGCAGAAATAAGCTTAAATAGTGACAGTTTTAATATTAACCATTTCCTACAAACCTATCATTTGTTTAGCTATTTATATACATGTATGATATTTATCTTTTATAGGTGAAGGCTGTTGCCAAACAACAGCTATTCGAATCGGCCAATGTTCTGGTTAGGGAAGTAACCAACAAACTTCAAGATGCAGAAGAGCCGGAATCGTCCAGACCCAGTCATGATGCTCTTCTCAAGATGTGTAACCGGACCAGACAGGGATTACGTCCAAAGGAACCAGAGGAAGGAATTGATTTCCAGGCAAGTTATATCCATTCACACATACGCAAATTTCATAAAATAATAAAATATTTATTATAAATAAATGATAGTGAGATATCCAATGTTTACACTAGAATCAGACAGTCTTCCGTTATATTTATTCACATGTAGTAATATTTTGCATTTCTTTCTAGGTTGATGAAAATTTCCTTGAAAGCCTTGGTGAGGATTTCTACAGAACAACGGTTCACGCAATTTTTAGATCGCCGCCACATCATATTCGCTACGAATAAACAACTTGATCTACTGAAAGAAGCGAAGACTTGGTATATTGACGGTACTTTCAAAGTTGTAAGGAAACCATTCACTCAACTACTTTCTGTCCACGCATTTGTCAAGTCCGACGACGCAATGAAGCAGCTACCTTTGTGCTTTGTTCTGATGATGGGCAAGAAGAAACGGGACTACAAGAAGGTAAGTTATCATATTTTCCCCATAAACCATTTGTAAAAAAAGAACGCATTAATAATATTTATAAAAACAACAACATTAGTAATAAAAAATTATGATAACGTGAGATACGCATAGCATTTTTAGATATGTTTGTTATAAGCAATAACGCATATAGGATATTTTGTAAAAGAATTATAGCGAAAATTTGTAGTAAATTATTGTAAATATATTATTGTGTAATCTTTCTTTTTTTCCAGGTGTTTGAAGCAATTGTGCGCCTTTTACCATCGACGGAGGTGAAGACATTCGTGACCGATTTTGAAGCCGGTATATGGCAAGGGCTAAGGGACGTTTTCAATGAGCCAGAGATCAAAGGGTGTGCCTTCCATATTTTTTCCAGACAGCTTACAACGACTCAGACGCTATACATCAACTTATGAGGAAACTGTTCGTCCTACCACTGTTGCCAGCAGAAGACATACAAAGAGCCTTTGACAAGCTGAAGATGAAGACAAACGGGACCAACGACAGCCGCCTTGACCAATTCTTCAAATTTGTCGAAAATACTTGGGTGAAGAGTGAGATGTGGCCAGTTTTCATCGTGGTCAGTCTTTGGTAGGTCCATCAGAACCAACATGATGCGGAGGGCTGGCACGCACGACTGAACCGACGCGCCAAGAAAGGGAAAATTTGGCATTCTATTTGTTAGTGGAACTGTTATTCAGGGAAAGCCAGAGAGATCCCTATTCTATGTAAACTTGTGAGAGAGGGGAAATTGTGCCGAATATCAACGACGTGCTGCCCGTCAGACGCAGGGGAAATTGATGAAACTTTGGACAGAGTATTCAGCCAATGACAGATCTGCCAGTAGTTTGTTGAAGGCAATGTGCCAAACTATACGGACCCGTGTAACTATAAACTGTACGTCATCGTTTGGGAATTGTTTATAGTCGTATGTTGTTCTACCTGTATTTGTATTGTAAATGTAAATTATTTATATCTTATGTGTCATTCAAATGTTTTGTACCTGTGTTTTGTAAAGGTCAATAAAGGTCAATATTTATCTAAATGTATGCAATTCATCGTATGGTTATTTGTTTGTAAGATAATGGTATGTTTTTATTAGAATAGTTTGCCAATAATATTCTTCGTCATGTCTTTTGTATATTACTTCATGTTTTCAAGCAGAGGTTATGCTGTGGTCGTATGTTTGTTTACGAACTGTGTTTGTATCATAAATGTATGTGATTATATTAATGTGAATTATTTATAAATATCTTATTTGACATTCAAATATTTTGTACATGTGTTTTGTGGTCAATAATTATCTAAGTGTACGAGGGTTGTTCAAAAAGTAATAGGACTAAGAGTCTTGCATCTTCATATTCAATTCAATTTAGAATATTTTTATATGTACAGCGATCGAAAAATGTTTTCTTCAATCTAAACATAAAAATATTGAATTCTTATGATTAACGCTTGTTCCCTGTGTTATTGAATAACCATGGTAACACGCACCCGGCGCAGCACATAAATAGGTTATTGAAGCTTAGTTGAACTTCTATTTTATTCACAATTTAGTTTCTTTTTTTCCCCCCATTTTTTCCACCAACACAATTTATTATATTTAAGTGACATTGTGTCCAAATTTGACGTCATTCAGACATGAAATGGCTAAATCATCAAGTTTTGAATAGCAGTGATCATAACGTTAAATGTAGAAATTTGACGTTCGTTAAAAAAACTGAAAATGTGTGCGATCGTTAAACTTTGCCAACAAATTGGCGATACTCCTTCAGATGCATATGAAAACATAAAACTAACAAAAGTACAACTAATCGGCTATCAGGATACTCGTTCTCAGCTTGCGCAAACAACTCAAAAACTGCACATACGAAATCACAAACAGGAAAGGATGAGAAATGATAGCGGAAATTGACGGGACGTTAGTGACGTTCAAATGAAAAAGCGCTACAAAATGATAGACGGTAAATAGTCCAGAAATG